ATTGCAATTGATCTAGTAAGAAACAAATTAAGCTTATCTATCCAACTGTTTGCACAATGTCCATTCCAATTTCATAGTTCTGTTTAGATTTACTATTACTGTGGTCTTCAACCAAGATCTGAGATATGAATTAAACATTTTAATGTTTAACTGATTGCAAGAGTAGTCTTCCTCCTTACTAACAAGACTGAGAATAAGTATCATGCCGAATGAATTTTTAAAAGTGGACATTGGCAGCACCCAAACAGATCATACTTATTTTTGTACTGTTTTCTAACTTTTATGACATATAAAATGATAAATGAAGTGTTGATATGTCCATCCCATGTGTAAAACTAATAATTCTGTTAGGATAACTGCCAATGGTAAACTTTGAAAAACAAAGTAGGAACACTGTCAAAATTAGTTCCTGCTTTGTGCAAGTCTTGAAAAATTGCAGCAGAGAGCAAAGCTCAGAGCTGATAAATTTAATTGTATAAAACAAAATTAAAAATGAAGTTTTCAATTTTTAAAAATCAAAAATTAAATTTTAATTAAGATTAAAAGCAGAACCCTCTCATATTAAGAATCACATAAAAGTTTGACCATTTTATTTTTTAAACAATAGGGCATCTCTTGCTACCATCTATGTTTTCTGGGTACCACCGAGACTTCTATGTACCCTGGATTGATGACAGCCATCAAAGGGAGTTGTTTAAAAGTGATTTTCATATAATGCCCATTATATGTGCACTGGTGAATTAATGCAGGTATTGTTATTCCATGTTCACATAACGCTGTGGGTGAACAGTTGCTGTAGCAATAAAAATCATTGTTAATGTTGCAAAGACTTAAATTTAGCAATAGAGTAAATAATTACCATGCAAATATTTAAGTTCAAGGACCCAGTTTTCTCTCTAGCAAACAAAATTATTATCTAGTTTGCCCAAAGGTTCCAAGTCCCTAAAAATTTAGTAAAACTCTAACATTCAAAACTGGAGAAAACTTCTAGGCTTGAGTACTACTGTTTTAATTATTCAAAGAACTCCTTCACCCTCCAATATTGAAGGGTTGAAATAGTCTATGGGTTTTCTGAAGACTATAATTTTGGGGTTTGCTGCTTAAAGCCTTGAAAAAAACTGGAGGAAATCTAGATTTACTGTTTTCACTGAACCTGCAAAATTTGCTTTTTCACCCTGTCAGAGAAGCAACATTTTTTACCCTTGTGAGATATTGCTAAACATGGAGAATTTCCAGTCTAGTGTGCATGACAAAAAGGAAAGGGTGGTGAGTTTGCATTTAATAAAAATCAGAGCCCAGATGTGTGTTTCATGCATATCCTAGTGAGTCAGTGGGGAATGGGAAATCAGTTTAGAATTTCAGTGCAGTATGAAGTTCTGAACTTAGACAGCAACTGCAACTTCTTGTTTTAAATGACTGACCTACTAAGCTGTCGCTTGTTTAACCACGATTCATTGAATAAACTCCAATGGCTGTAGTTTATTCTATAATTTGTCTCACAGAAAGCTAACAAAGCTTAGTTTAGGAACACACAACAAAAATGCAGCTGCAGTGTTGCTTTACATTTGAATAACCATTTTTTTAAAGAGGTAAGAAAATAGGTTTGAATGAGCAGGGTGTTTTATTCCATATTATCATATATTGCAGCGGATTGATTTCATTCAGTGCCAGAAAAGTACAGGATGTATGTATCTCAGTTTATATGCATTGTTTTAAGATTAAGGGGAAAAAATAGCAAGAAACAATTGGATTAGCTTTAGGATATTTCCAAGGAATGGAAATGTTGAAATGTCAACCCTAGGAAGGGCCTCACAATGACCATACAGCAAGATATTTAACAGACACTTTGTGTATGCATATGACTATACATACTGGCTTTTACATCCTGATGAGTCTCACAGAAGATTTGCATCAGTTAGAGTTGAACTTGATAACTTTTCTCTGGTTCAGAAAATGATCACGGGTTACTGCACTTGAATCATGATGTATAGACTTCAGATAGTCCTTGATTTACGATCACAATTGAGCCCCAAATTTCTATTGCTAAGCGAAACACTTAAGTGAATTTTGCCCCATTTTATGACCTTTCGTGCCACAGTCATTAACTGTGGCAAGAAATCACTGCAGCTGTTATTCAGTAACACGGTTGTTAAGTGAATCTGGCTTTCCTATTGACTTTGCTTGCCAGAAGGTTGCAAAAGGTGATCTTGTAACTCTAGGACACTGCAACCGTCATAAATACGAGTCAGTTGTCAAGTGTCTGAATTTTGATCATGTGACCATGGGGATGCTGCAACCCTCATACGTATGAAAAACGGTCATTTTTTCACTTCCATGTAACTTCAAATGATTACTAGGTAAACTGTTGTAAGTCAAGGACTACCTGTATCACGGTTCTAGTGCAATAATCCTTTACAGTCCTCTTCTCTAATTTTGGAAACTTTCTGACTATCTTTTACTGGCCATTGATTGATATCGAATGCTCAGCTCACTGGGTTTCAGCCAAAACCAGCACGATCGCTCTTATATGCAGAAGTGGGAAGGCAAGCTGATCCTTGACCACAAGCAATAAAATTCTGTCTGCATTTTAGGCCTTTACCCTCTTGGTATTTTGCAGCGCTCAGGGATACCGTAACATTTGTTTGGGATGCTACTTGAGAAATAGAGCAATATGAGAACAAGAATTCCATAGGCGTGTGCTTTGTAAAAGAATAATTGCTCTACCATTTAGGAAGGTTCTTGTTTGAGAGCTTAAAAACCATGGCATGTGTAATTCAGTTGCATCTGGAGATGACAGTCTGGACCCTGTCTTTGGGAACCATGTCACGCCTCTCCCAAGATTTCCAAGGAGATCTTTGCCTCCTTTAGTTCTTGGCTTTCCTTTCCCTCCCCAGCTGGGGACAAGCAGAGAAGTCAAGCACATTAATTGAAAAACTTGGCTGCAGTTCACCTTAAACAACTGCAATATGCATGCCAGAGATTCAAGACCAAATTTGGAAATGTGCTAGTAAGGGGGCACAGGGGGTTGGGGTGTGGGGTGGGAAGAGTTCATTTCTCCAATCTTTTAAAATATATATGGAATTAAAAAGATTGCTTCTATCGATTGTTTCTATAGAAGTTTGCTCCTCAGACATTTTTGCATCAAGATATTCTGGTGTAACAAACCTTTAATTGGCTATTATGTCTTGCTGTATTTGTGCAGATCAAGTACAGTCAGTCCATGCATAGAAATACACCTATTTTCAAGACATGGAGAGTTCTCGTAATGTTTTCTTTGGTGTTTATTATTTAAAAATCTGAGAGATTATAGTAGTAGGAAATCAAATCTGAGAGATTACAGTAATAGGAAATATTTCAACTGCAACAGGGAAGGTCAATTTTATGGATGTTTCCATTCCTTGTACAAACTTCATGTCCCAACAAGAAGACTCATTTTTTATAGAGAGAGATATATAGAGTTACATATATGATATTCCTACCCTAAATCTGATTTCCTACTACTGTAAACTCAGATTATACATACAGCGTGAAACCTATAGAAAAGCAATGAAAAGTTGGCTGTTTCTTTTGGGTCAAGATGAATAGAGTTCGTACACAGAAGGGTATGATAAATTCGAATCCCTGATTGTTAATTACTTGTTATATTTATTTATAATTGGTGATATTTTGTTCCTGGGATATTGTTATTTACCAATTTACTGCATGCTATTCAGAGTTGCATTGTTTGAATGGGGCAACTATATGCATGCTTGAAATAAATCAATAATGTGAGCAAGGCTGGACTGAGAGAACATGATTGGTCAAAGTTCCCCATGGGGCTTCTATAACCATGGTTTCTCCTGTTTGAATCCCAAATTGAGTTCTATACCACACAGATTCTCAATAGCTATAGTACTTCTCTTTTTAGAAGCGGGAGGGAAATCGATTTGTAACTGCTTGTCACCTGGAATCAGATAAGTAAAAGTGTTATGCTTAAGGACCGTTATCTGCCTCTGCAACTAATCAAATACACTGGTACAAAAATAAGGAGATTTCTTATCCTGTCTCATTATGTTTTTAAGGCCAGAATCAGGATTAAGTCAGTTAAAACAAAAGGCTATTTGTCAGGAAATATTAGCATTCATAATAGAATCTTATATTGCTTCTCTTTAAAGCGCTCCATGGCATAGGACCCGGGTACCTTCGAGACCGTCTTCTGCCACCAATAGCCTCCCACCGACCAGTCCGCTCCCACAGAGAGGGTCTCCTCAGGGTGCCATCAGCCAAGTTATGTCGGCTGGCGACACCCAGGGGGAGGGCCTTCTCTGTGGGAGCCCCAACCCTGTGGAATGAACTGCCCCCGGAAATATGTAGGATCTCCGACCTCCGGGTGTTTCGCTGCACATTGAAGACCCTGTTGTTCCGCCAGGCCGGGCTATCAACATAATAATTTTAAATTGGGGTATTTTAAATTTTTGGGGTTTTAAATCGGCCAAATCTATTTAATTATTTTAATTTTTAATCATTGTTGTGTCTTGTGTTTTTAAATTGGCTGTACACCGCCCTGAGTCCTTCGGGAGAAGGGCGGTATAAAAATAAAATTATTATTATTATTATTATTATTATTATTATTATTATTATTATTATTATTATTCTCAGTACAGATACATGTAAAGTGGTACTTTGAAACTCATTTAATTTGGTACTGAACACATTTGGAGTTAACATTTTCTCCCAATACTCATCGTTTGATACTCAACGCACAAGCTAAAACTTGACAGTGTCGGGTGCCTTGTGACTCACTGCCTTATTCCTTAAGGGAAAAATGTGTTTGGTACCCATCGTTTTTGGTACTCATTGCACTTTCCAGAACCAATTAATAATAAGTACCGAGGTACCACTGTAGTTCTATAGTCCTTTTGCAGAAAATGTTTTCTAAAAATCTGGGGATGGGCCTCATGCCCTTGTGAAGCCTAAGCAAAATGGAGCCTAAATATGCTATATTTAACATGCCTTTTCAGGAAAGACTGAAGCGGTGATCAGAAACTTCAGCCCACACTATAAACGCCAATATGCCATATCCTTCTGCAAGCACATTCAGAATGAGCTGGAACAAAACAGAGATCTGCAGTCTCAATTCTTAAAAATAAAGGTAACAAGTATTATTATTATTATTGTTGTTGTTATTATTATTATCATCATCATCACTTTTATTCATTAAACATGAAACTCTTCTTAAGATGTATGATGTTCCGAGTAGCACAGTTTTTTGCACTTCTGCTGGTGTTATTGCAGGAAGCTGCAATTTCTTGATGTGTTTTATAAAATTCTTGGACATGGTACCAAGTGCCCCGATGACAGTGGGTATCACTGTTACATGTTTCATCCATAGCCATGTAGTTTCAATGGACAGGTCACGATATTTTGTGATTTTTTTCCAGTTCTTTTTCTTCAACTCTGGCATCTCCTGGGTTGTTGTTGTTATTGTTGTTGTTATTATTGTTATTGTTGTTGTTGTTGTCTTTTGATGTTTCCACCCCATGCTTTAGGCAGTTGGTGTCAGTCTTGCAAGGTGGTCTAGACAGGAAACACAGCCAGATGAGCTAATTCTACTCTATCGTAAAGTTACATAAACATAGTCTCATAAGTCTCAAAATACATTTCTTTTCCTGTCCCTCTTTACAGCCTATGAAACTCAGGAGAGTCCCTTCTGAATTATTTGCCCCAGCTACTTTCCTGCTGCAGGCTAAGCTGTCTTTTACCTGACCATTTCCTTGGCTTCATCTCTTTGCTCATTCTCCCAAGATCATCCCCACATACCATTAGCATTGGCCATATCTTTGTTGTGCATGTTTCAATTATTCAGATGCACTAGTAATTCCTTCCTACCCTCCATAATTCAGACTCTTTGTAGTTGTTGTTATATCACAATCTGGCTAACTGTGTTTGAAGGTTCCAGTCGGCTGTGAAAGTTACTGGCTGCTCATGCCCTCATTTGTAGTCTAGTTCACATATCAAGATAAGCCAGAATGTGATTTCATTTGGTTTCACCTTTGTGCCCTTTATGCAAAATGATTTTGACATGTGAATGATAATTTATGCCTTAGTCAAGATGCCAATTTATCTAGATTTGGTTTATTTAATCAACCAGTATTGCGGAAATCATGGTTTAATGTATGAGTACTGTTATCCTCTTTGAGTTGCAGCTATTTCACAAGAGCCTAAAATACCATATTTGTATTTCCACACACAAATAGAAACACATGTTATGCTTCCCAAGAACTCTGTTAAATCACAATAGATGAAAATACCTAGATTCCTGAGCAAAAAGTATCAGCATGGATAGGGTAGAGAAAACAAAAATTTTAAAATAGGCTTCATTGTGAAACAATCCAAGAGTTTATTGGAGTTGGACGGCTAATAAATTTAATGAATTAACTAACTAGCTACTGGTAAATAAATACTTTAAATTGATTTTGTTTCTAAGTCCTTTTCTTCTCAAGTGAATATTGAAAGCAGAACATTCAGGGTTCATTTGAAAGCTGAATTTGAGGATACAGGCCTCAGACACAGTATACTGTAATCTTCTTGTAGTAGCATGAAAAATCTCATACGTTCATATCTGTGCTTTGAAGTTCTACACCAATCTTTCCAAGGTGCTAGATCCTTTCCCCCATTTTACAAAAGAAAAGGAACATAATGCTTGCAAGAAGCTCATTCTGTTTCTTGGTGTCATTTTTCTACAGCCACCTGGATCATCCAGCACAGTCCTTTATGAAGGAGAGGTATCACATTTTGCTGAAGACCTGAAGAAATGGAAAGAGAGATACATAGTAATTAAAAATAATTACGCTGTGGAAAGCTTTGAAAGCAAAGAGGTAATCTGTTGATTTATTAAGTGCTAACACACTCATGAGGTTTAGCACTGCTGATCTGTTGGGTTCTATTCTGAAATCAAAACTAGTGAATGACCATACTTTTCTGAGCCACTGAGCACATTTTTAACTCTCAGAGCATATTATAGGAAGATGTGTAAAATGAAATACTAATTTACACATTGACAAAATGGGAATTGAGGTGCTTTGCCAATTCATTAGTGAAGTCCACTCTGGAGATTTTCTATCAACCCACATTGATGTCTCCCCCTTCCCCCACCCGGGAAGTTGGACATGCTTCCCTTAAAAGCCTTGGTCTATAGCCATCCATGATTTCTGTTCTTCAAGAACATTTATAGACAACCTTAAAAATAAAGAGGATAAAACAAAATGGCAGTTTATAATAGATTATTTTCCATTAAAAAAAAAAACATTTTAAGATGTTGGTATTCTAAAGTGGTTGTCTTTTTATCCAGATCTCAAGTCTGCTCCAAGAACATGTACTGTATATGAGTATTGCCATTTTCCAATCCTCCTTGTGTCTCGGATTTCCTTTGTGCCTTTGAGAAATCAACACATCCAAAAGACATCAGTCTTTTCCATAAAACTATCCCATTTGTCTGCATTCTTTTCCACTTTGTAGCTTGATGTATTCTCAGTATGTGTTTAGAGATAGATGTTTTCAGAATCAGACAACTGTAGGTAAGCAAGATTACTGAAAGTCACGAAGTTACCATTGGTGATTAGCAGAGTGTTGTGCCATCCTGGGAGGTCATAAATTTGATATTTCTGTGGTAGAATCTTCCAGTTAATGCGTAGATGTTTAAAAGACTTTATTTCATTATTTAATTGTTTCCATAATTAATATGATGATGAATACAATATTTTAATTTTGGAATGGTTACTTTCCAGCTTTTCATCTTGAAAATAAGATACTAATGCACATGGGCTTCACCTTAAGCCTACATGAATCTGGGCAGCTAATGATACCTAAAACAGAATAAAAACAATATAAGAAAACTATAAATAGCAGCTGAGGAAAAACAACCAATAGCAATAGTGAATTCACAACAGTAAATAAAACCAAGAAATGGCTTCACTTGCATCATCAGGGCCCAGGGCTCAATGATAAAACCAAGTCTTCAAGGCTTTACAAAAAGTCAGTAGGGTTGGGGTAAGTCTGATCTCCATGGGAATGATGTTCCAGAGGACAGGGGCCACAACAGAAAAGAGTCTCTTCAGATGACATTCCCTGACGGGACCAGGAGCATTCATCTCCTGTCAGATCTATAAGACAGGTAGATACAACCAGGGAGAGACAGTCTTATAACTAACCCAGTCCCAAGTCATGAAGACCAGCACCTTGCATTAAATCTGGAAGCATACTAGCCACCAATGCACTTTGCAGAGCAGAGATGGTACATGTGCTGTATGACAGACATCCATGACTGCCTGTACCACTGCATTTTGCACCAGCTGAAGCTTCTGAACAGTTTTTGAGGGCAGCTCCGTGTTCAGCATGTTGCAGAAGCCCAGTTAGGACACCAATCTGGGAGGCCAATAACATGACAACATTAGCAGGGTGAAGAATGGAGATTGATTTATAGGCTAGAGGATAGGAGTGGGGGAAGGGAGAACAATAGAAATTTCATTTAGTGAGACTCGAAAGGTATAATTAATGATTCACTTTCCCTAGAGAGGCTAAAGAGACAATCAGCCTCATTTACTGACTTTTACTGAAGATCAAATGATCCTCTATTTGATAATGATGCTAAATAAAAATATTTTTATACCTGTGAAATGCTTGCACAACCCAATGAATCCTATTTCCACTTTTCAAAGCATCAAGCAGAGTTGCATTCTGGCCGCTTCATTATCTAGCTCAGTGATGGCTAACCTTTTTGTCCTTGCATGCCGAAAGCGTGCACACGCATGCACACATGCCACCCCCCCCCCCCCCCCCCCCCCCCCCCCTGTGTATGCGCACGCAACCCCCCCCGCAACCCATTTTGGGGCCAGCAGGCCTCCCTGAAGCCTTCTGTGACCAAAAAAGGGGCAGAGGGGTGCGCTGCATCCCCCTGTGCTCCCCCCCTGCATGCCTACACTGTTACAGGTGTTATGTCTGCCTTGTATGCAGCTTTATTCCTCTCTAGCATTCATCTCCATTGTTCAGTGATGCATTTCCTGCCTCTCTAGGATTAACCCCTATCTGCTCCTGTGAGGCACTTCCTGTTCCTGTTGGATGTATATACAGCTCAGCTGGGGCGAGGGCTCACCTGCCGACAGAGAGGCCTACGTGTGCCACCTGTGGCACATGTGCCATAGGTTCGCCATCACGGATCTAGTTTTTAAATTAATGATATTGATCAGGAGAAGGTCTTACAATATTGTATCAGAGAGACCCTTCATCATCATCATCATCATCATTATTTACTTTTAAGGGAAAAAAATCTATACCATACAAAAAAAATAGTTCAATTCTATTACTTGATTTCATATTTAATGTATAATAAATGTTATACATACTACTTGATCAATTTATTTTATTTTACATATACTATTATATTAATGTTTGATAAATGATCCTATCTTCCAATAGAATCCTAGAATCTTATTGGAAGAGAAAATGCCGGTTTAAAAAAAATAGATAAATGGAAATTTTAAGTCAGGGTGCGGTAAATGAGGTATGTGGTTAGTTAGAACATTTAACAGAATAACTGAATTACCTCCCATTCTGGATTTTGAAATTTAAAGTGTTGTTCACATTTTCTTATTTATTTTTAGCAGCCACTTTATAAGTTGAGGGTGCTTTTTTAAAAAAGAAAATATTTACTAATTTTTCTTAATTCTAGGCATTCCAGAAAGGAGTAAGTTCAAAAACTTGCATTCTCCCTATTGGAGGCAAAGTGCTAATTACAGGGGAAGAATATAACACACTATCTGATAAGCATTTTCCAGAACCTAATGGTAAGGTATAGCCTATTCTTTATATTTTATATTACTTTGCGTATTAATTGATGTTCTCTTTCAAGTGTTGCATTGTCTTTATAAATTTAATTTATATACTTATATATTAGTTTATAAACAATATATTATTATATTATAAATTAATTATTATAAAGAGTTACACATAGTTTAAAGGCATACATTTAATAAGTTTGCCTATCTTACACTGTAAAGTATTATTCTGTAGTTGTCCTGAAATGTACATATAGTTTGAGTCATATCAACTCAAAACCCAGAGCAACAATGGAAGCTGAATAGAAGCAAAGTAAGTAAGAGACAGAGTCATAATCAAAGTCAAGTAAAAACTAATAGTCAAGAAAACAGGCACAGAGGCACAATCCTGATGCCAGAGACAAATTACATAGATTAGGGATGATATGCATGTATGCATGCATGCATGCATTAAATTTATATAACTGCTCATCTGATGCACATAACTTATACATTCTGAATCTGGGTAATTGTGAGTCCAGACTAAGGAATCTGTTCACTGGAATGCTCAGATAGGCTGATGCTACAACCTGGGTGGTGTCCAGAGCGCATAGAGTTACAATGAAAACTAAGCATTGGTGGCACAAATGTTAAGGCAAGATTACATGTCTACTGGAAATTTGTCTATAATTATATGTAAACCTGATGGAATGACTAAAAACATAAATGTATGCATATTTTTAAGGTTCCAGTGAAAAAGAGAATACCCAGGCCTTTGTTGTCCCTCCAAAGGAATTTCCAGTCTACCTGTGGCAGCCTTTCCTTAGACATAGTTATTACTGTTTTCCGGATTCAGAAGCTCAGAAGAAATTCAGCACCATGTTGAATGATTGTATCAGGCACTTAAATCATGGTGAGTCTAGCAGACATAATCTGATAATTTTGCTATTGTTCTGCCTTTCAGGAAAAAAAATCAGTTTGACCATTGGTTGCTAACCAATCCTTGTAGCAAAATTACAATCTACCTTTCTCTTGTATTACCCTGGTAAGTAATGACATGCTTAGAGTTGACCCAACAACTTCTAAATGAGAGAGATATGGTTTCATGTTATATACACTCTTATCTCTTTAAGCATCAGCTAGTGGGTGCTGGATGGAGAAACCAACTGTGTTGACATTAGGAAAATCATCCTATATATTGTGGGGAGAACTTGGCTGGTAATTCAGTCAGACATCAAGAAGGCAAAAGCTGGGTTAGGAATCCTATAATTTATTTCCTTACCCTGTCATTTTGCCTAGCCATACAGGAAAGAGAGTTGTAGAGTTGCTATGAGAGTGTAGTTTGGAGCTTCAAAAGTCCAACCTGACAAAGTGAATTACACTAACTTTGTTAACATTAGAGAAAATACTTTCTCATTTCTTACTTATTGGCTCTTCAGAGCATAAGATTTGCCAGAAAGAGGTGATACTGGAGAAGCAGTAGAGTTTGCACTGTGACATCACAATGGTTTGTCATTCTGATGAGACCTCCAAATGCTATGGCTACTTCTGAACATTATGTTGAAACATAGAATACTCTTATTCAGAAAGCCCGATATGCTTTTAATTTCCTAAATTACATACAGAGATACTGCATATCACAAAAGAGCAGAAAGGAGAAAAAAATGCCAACTATTGTCCTTTAACAATTTTCATATGCATTTGAAATTTGCGTAACAGTTATGTTAAAACTCCCCAGAAAAAGCCTGCTGTACTTGTTGACAGAGAATATGTGACTCCTGTTTTTCTCATGCAGAGAAATTAGCCATATCTCTTAAAAAATGCCTGGATTGATTTGTTCCCTGACCATTCAGCTTTTAAGAAAGTTTTTTCCATCTTTTTTCAATCAGGAGGATTTGCAGAATAATATAGTGTGCATTAAGCCATTTGATTAAATTTCTCCCATTTTGCCTGTGTAGGAAAAAAGGGGAGCAAGTTGAAATGGCTAAACTTACACTTCTCCAGGCAAAGGGAAAATGTGTATTTAGCTGTTTCAACTTCTTTCTTTCTGGCTTGAGGAAGCCTCTCTTAGTTTGTGTAGGCAAATGGGGAATAAGTGGTGGCAAATAGCTAAACACTATTCTTTCTGAGCCCTTTTAAAAACCAACTGGGAAACCCAGACTGGAACATAAAACTGAGATGATCTCAGTCACAGTGCATTCTGTCATCAACATATGGCAAAAGGGTAACACACTCAAGTTTCAGCGTTGAGATGATTTCATTTGTATTTTGAAATGTCTATCAAGTATTGACTGATTTTCAAAACATCACAATTCTAGTGGAATTGGTGGAAGGAACTGGTAGTGTAAGGAGTAACCCTCACTCCATGGTCAGTGTCAGGATGTAAATGATTTAAATTTTGGGTGTAAATTTTGGCCTCCATGGCAGGCCAAAACATGCTTTAAAAATCTCGAGGCCTGATATTCAGGAGTGGTAACCAGAATATTTTCCTTTACCACTTTTATCTTCCCTCTTCATGAATGAGGCCCTTTCCTTCCAAGCTACAGTTCTGTAAGCAGAACTGTGAAATATACAGTGTATTTGGCACCAAAAGGTTAAGGAAGATTAAGTCCAAGTCTACATATGGTGCTGCAAATCCCACAGGAGGAACACATGATCAGGCATTTTGCAAACCATTGAATCTGTAAGCTTCAGGGAACATGTTTGGTAAAGCAGTCAGCTGAAGTCAATTTCCTGTAAAGCATTCTTAAAGGGAAAGTTTTCCATTTCATGGCTTATAATTCTCTTATTCATTTCTCAAAACCTCGGTAATAAAATCATCTGTGTGGAGTCTAATACCTTTTGTTTTGTCCTGGGAAAGTAATAGAAGGGCTCAGTTTTTCCTGGCACGCTGTGAATCTTCTGTGACTCTAGATCTTCAGTAATGCTTTAGTTTGCTCAAAAGGCAGAACTGATTCCAGGCGTGCAATCCTCTTGGTAGTTTCTGTTTTAAATTGAATTCCAAACCATCAGTTTGGAGGACAATAGGGTATTTGCAAAATGAATAAAGTAGTGTTTTCAATCTTTGAACAGTTTTGGATTTCTTTCCTGAAATGTTTGCCCCTTCTCTTCCTCTTCTTACTTCTTCTTGTCAGAAGGGTGGAACTACCATACTCTAGAAAGTTCTCTTACTTATTAAACATTTGGATACATTGAATTAAAGATTTTCTGGGCTAGATGTTTTTAGGTGCCTTTTGTTTTGCTTTTTATGATATATTTGTTGCACAAAGTGACATTTCAGCATACCTAATCATGTGATCTTGTTTTGAGGAAGGAAGTTCATTGCAATATGTTTTTAACTGAAGATTGGTATGGAATCTAGCAACAAGATGGCAGTGCCTTGACTGATTTCCTTTTCTGGCATCAATTACCTCAGGATGGTTATGTATGAGGTGGACCTTGGGAGACAAGGCAAAAAGATGCAGCCAGGAGAGAAGTCAGTTGAGCCTGCAACAGGAATGTGGGTGGGGCAAGGAATTTAGAAGATACCCTCCCTAGTTTTGTAAAGGAGCTTGGGGTGAGATAGAGAATTGTGTTTCAGATTTACAAGATTCTGCTAATGTAACTTAACAATAAAATAGAATTAGCTCATCTGGTTGCGTTTCCTGTCTGGTGAACATAGTAAGGCTGATATGCTACCTCAGGAAAATAACACCAATAAAATCTTAAGTCTATTTAAAAGCTAAACAGTTATCTGTAGCAAGTATAGACACATTGCAGCTAACACCCCCAGCCCTCCTGTTATAGCTTGTGTTCCCTTGAGAGGCATTGTAGTTTTATATGCCAGTCTGATAATTCTAAGCAAGTTAAATTTGATATGATTTGATAAGAACAAGTTCAAAATTTGTTAAGACTGTAGGAAATAATTAGGCTGAAGGTCAGCTTTGCTTTTGCTCAAAACATTCCCATTATAGCTCAGTCATGTTGCATATCAATATTGTAGTGTTTCTGAAAGTGAAAGGTGAAAAAGTTCTTCACAATAGCAGAAGATTAGATTTCCTCCCAGACCTACTTCTTATTAATGTGTTGGCTGAAATGTTTGAAATTATAACCAGAATCTAGTAATGGCAAGGATATATGATATTATTTCCCCAGAAAAATGGGAAGTGCATATAGCATGGCATGGATTGGTCATATCTGGAATCAATGGATTTCAGATGGCATAATGTGAAAACGAAGGTTCAATGTGGCATCTATATTTGGCATGTAGGTTTTTGTTCCTAAACAGATTAAGATTGCACATAAGCAAAAAGTAAAGATCTCTAAAGTCAGATCCCCAAATAAGATCTCCCTTTTTGGTTAATTTTGTCCACCTGCATGAATGGAGGAACAAAGTGAGAATAAACAGATCATGTGCAGTAGCATATTCACAATAGATCAGGTTGGGCTATAAATCCTTATATTATATGCAGGAGTGAACATAATGAACAGCTAGATGGGCGGCATATAAATTTAATAATAAAGAAGAATGGCTAATGTCAACTGAAATTTCCAGCACCCATGGCTATCATTCTTCATGCATGCTTCTTATCTGCAAAAAAATACAGATAGTCCTCAATTTACAACAGTTTGTTTAGTGACCATTCAAAGTTACAATGCATGGTATTGAAAAAAGTGATTTATGACCGTTTTTCACACGATGGTTGCAGCATCCCCATGGTCATATGATCAAGATTCAGATTTGGCAACTGATTCATATTTATTATAGTTGCCTAGCAACCTGGGGTCATGTGATTCTTTTTCACGACCTTCTGACCAGAAAAGTCAATAGGGAAGCCAGATTCACTTAACAACGGATGTAATAACTGCAGTGATTCACTTCACCACTGTGGCAAGAAAGGTCATAAAACGGGATGAAAAAACAAATGTTTCACTTAACAACAGAAATTATGGGCTCAGTTGTGGTCATATGTTGAGGACTACCTGTACTAGAGGCATAAAAGTTCATTTATTGCATATGCGGAAGAAGTAGGTTTTTATGTGCTCTGTAAGTATGCATTATTTTAGTGTGGAGTTTCTGTTTACTTGATTAATTCAGTTAACCTTTGGTTCAAGTCATTCTTCCAAATACTACAGTACGTGGTGCTATACATACCTACAGACTTTTTGTGAGCATTGACTGGAGAATTAGTATGGTGCAGTTGAATTAAGATTAGAGAAACCAAAATCCAAGGCCAATTTCAACCCTCAGAGCTCATTGGACTTTAGACAAGTACTTTCTCTTAGGCCAGTTGTGTGAGGAAAAACTGAAGGTGCCTTCTATTATCATCTTGAGAGATTGAAGACAGACAGGATAAAAATCTAAAATTAAATAATTTGTTAGATACGTTAACATTAGAATTTCTAGAGCATTTTAAAGATGCTGTACCAATTCTTCAGAGGTAAAAGCTATTCATGGAATTGTATTTCTTCTCTTGAGAAATTTTGCTAAACTTCTCTTTCATTGTGACTAAAATTCTTCAGATGCTTTATCTCAAGAGGATACAGTGAAATATTCACTTCGGGATTTATTCTTGGATTTATTCTTGGAGAGATTTCTATGATACATTTGGTTGTTATCATCCTTGGGCCCTTGAAATTGTAGAACTAAAAGATTTAATTCCTAAAATGCATTCATATTTATTACTTTGGGCACCAGGTTTTGGAAAATTCCAGGATAGAAATTAGGCAGCACTTATTGCAAATTATTAGAAAGTGTTCATGCAAATATCAAAATCTGAAACATTTGTATTCAATAATGTGTAACTCTGCATATGAAGTATGCAATTTTTCAGTGGCTATAAATACAGCATATGAATACAGGCCTGTATCCTGTTTGGAAGTGACCTCATCTAATTTCTGTTGGTGGTTAGCAGCTTTTCTATCACATGATGTGGCTAAGGAAACTTCTGAGTCTTGGTTCTTTGCATTCTTAAGCAAGTCAGCTCTTCTTAACAATAGATGATACTCATTGAAGCTTCTTAAAAAAAAAAGTCAAACTCTCCAAAAATCTGCTCTTAATCAGCCTTCCAGGTTAACAAACTGTAGTCAGATGCTGAACCACAAAGCTGCTATTCAAAATTAAATCTCAGAACACTATAGAATTCTCCAACATTAAAAGTAAAAAACGGGGAAATGATTGCAGCCAAGACTTCCTATAATGCAGCTGGATTCTCAACTAAAATAATCTTTTATAAATGTATGTACATAACTGGAGTTTGCATCCTTTGCTGAATACTCCATAGTTTCTCCTACTTTTTTTAAAAACTTCCCTCTACGAGAATAAAACATTGATTTTGTTTAAAAAAAAACACAGTATTCTTGATTCCCAGTTTTCCTAACAGGACTCTTCAGAGTACAAAAATCTTAAAATTTCGAATAATTCTCCCTAATCATCCTGTTCATGTCATAGGAACTATTCAAGGTGCTTTTGGGTTGAAAGATTAGCCAATGACATCACCATT